CACACACACACACACACACACACACACACACACACACACACACACAACCCGAACAAACAAACAAACAAAAACTATGAGTGCTAAAACATTCCTGAATAATAAAAGAACAGTTGGAGGTATTACGATTTACCATTCCTGGACTTAAGATGCACTACCTAGCTATAGTATAAAAGCATTATGGTATTAACATAAAAACAGGCATGTTGATCAACGGAATAGAATTGAAGACCCAGACATGAGTCAAAAACCCTATAAACATCTGATTTTTGACAAAGAAGCCAGAAAAGCACACTGGGAAAAAGACAGCATCTTCAACAAATGGTGCTGGTCAAAATGGATGGCTGCATGTAGAAGAATGTAAATAGATTCATTTTTATCACCTTGCACAAAACTTGACTCCAGATGTACCAAAGACCTCAATATAAGACTAAATACAGAGTCTAATAGAAGAGAAAGTGAGGGATAGTCTTGAACCCATTGGCATAGGAAATGACTTTCTTAATGGAACACCAATGGCACAGGTCCTAAGACCAATAATTAAGAAATGGGGCCTCATGAAAATGAAAATATTCTGTATGGCAAAGGACACCATCACCTGCATGAAGTGGTAGGTTACAAAATGGGAAAAGATCTTTATCAATTATGCATCCAATACAGGGTTAATATCTAAGCTATATAAAGAACTAAAAAAAAATTAACTGGGCATCAGGAAAACAAATAGCCAAACTAAGGTACCAAACTAAACAGAGTTCTCAAAACATGAAATGTAAATAGCTGGAAACACTTAGAGAGATGTTCAGCATCCTTAGTCCTCAGGGAAATGCGAAGCCAAATAGTCATTCGCTCTTTATTCACACTGAGATTGATTTAGTAATCTGGCTGCTACTGCGAATACTGTTACAAAAGCTATGAGAATGATTATGTCTCCTCCTCACATAAATTTCCATGTCTTTTGGTTATATGCCCAGTAATGGAGCAGCTGAGTATTATGGAAGTTCTACCTTGAGGTACTTTGAAGACATTTCATATAGTAGGATGCTAAATTACGTTTCTACCAGTAATTTATAAAACTTTCCTTTCCTCATATCTTTGCAGGCATTATTTTATGCTTTGAGTCTTTTTGAAGCTATCCCTCCTTATAGGTATAAGGTAATGTCTCATTATGGTTATAATTTTCATTTTCCTTATGATTAGTGGTTTTGAGCTCTTTTTAAAAATGTATACTTGTTTGGCCATTTTGAGAAATGCCCCTTCAGGTCACGTGTACATTTTCTATTACATTTCCATTGTTCAGTTGACTTGCTATTGTGCCTTTTATCCCTTGTCAGAAATACAGTTTGCAAGCATTCTCTTTCATTCTTTAAATGGTCCCCTCAGTCTGTTACTGTCACCATGTAGGAGCTTTTTGAGCTGAGAAATAAGGATCTACTTTCATTCTTTTGCATATTCATGTCTAATTTCCCACGATTATTGGGTGAAGAAATTATCTTTTCTCAAGTTCTTAGAGCCTTTTTTTTTCAGAGTCCATTGATTGTGGATATGTGGTTTTATATATCTACATCTGGGTTCTCTCCTCTCTTCCATAGGGCTCTGTGTCTCTTTTGGATATTGTATCTTGGCTTTATGTTTAGAAGTTGATAGTTTGATAGCCAGCAGTGTGGTTCATTTTACTTAGAATCACCTCAGCTATTCGGGGATCTTCTGTATTCCATATAACTTTTAGCAGTATTTTCTTTCTGTTTCTTTAAAAATGTATTTGGAATTTTGGTAGGGATTCCATTAAATCTGTAAACTGTTTTCATAAGTATGGACACTTTTCACAATTTGCAGCCCATGGACATGGGATGCCTTCCATCTTTTGGTGTCTGCAATTTCTTTCATCAATGTTTTGTAGTTTTTTTTTTTACATCTTTTCCAGCTCTCTCTCTCTCTCTCTCTCTCTCTCTCTCTCTCTCTCTCTCTCTCTCTCTCTCTCTCTGTAGTCTACACTTTTCAATGTATTAATATATTTTGTAAATGGTAACAATAATGCCCTTAGAATGAGAATCATAGTGGAAAATGTTTTCCACTCTTGAATAGTCTACTGAAGATTGCTGTGGAACGATTCTTCTGTACACTGTGAATATGTATTAATCTCCTTGGTTAATAAAAAGCTGAAAGGTCTGTAGCTGGGCAGGAAGTTAGGTGGCAAAGCCAAATTGAGAATGATGGGAAGAAGGAGGGCAGAGTCAGGGAGATGCCAGCTAGCCAGTCGCCCAGGAAGCAACACATGCTAGAGGACAGGTAAAGCCACAAGCCACATGGCAATACATAGATTAATAGAAATGGGTTAATTTAAATTAAGAATTTAGCTAGTAACAAGCCCGAGCTATTGGCTGAGCATTTATAAAATATTAAGTCCCTATGTGGCAATTTGGGAAATGGCTCCTGGATACTTGGGAACAGGAAAACTCCCACTTACAGAAGATTGTTCTACTAGTTTAACTATCCACATACAAAGTTATAGGTTTATAGTTATAGTGTTAAATAATGGTTAAATAAATAGACACTGCTATAAAAAAAAACCATTAAAGAGTATCTTGTGTATTTTATTACCTGGCAAATGACACCATCAACGATATAGGCATTTAACCACAAGATGTGTGTTTTATTTAGTCTTGGAGAATATGCCTATCAACTAATTCAATTGCCATAAATAATCTTACCTCCCCAAACAAAATCACATAAAATTTTGCTTACTATAATCTCTTAAAAAAAAAAAAAAAGAAAAAAGAAAACTCAAACTCTTCTGGATCTAATCTAATCTAATATTAATCTTACTTTATATATGAAGTAGGTAATTTGGGCACATCTTTTATAAAGTGTGATATGTGAAATCTTTAAATCACTGAAGAGGAATATTTTAATTGATCTCATAAAGGAACTTTCTCATAGTGTGATGTTATCAGGACTCCTTTGTTGTAATTTATAAATGATTTCCCTTTTATAATAGAGACCAACAATTTACATTGTTTCTCTTTTGAATAGGGATCAGCAGTTCTCACTTAGTCTGGCTCTCTTCACACATGTTAGCTTGGGACTTTATACTTGACTGACTTTCCTGGCATAACAGTCACAGTGTGGTGAGGTTTGCCCACCTCTGTTCCACGCATACAATATTTTTCCATCATTTAGCCCTGGTTTATGTGGAGTTCACATGAGAATATTTTGTAACAAAATGTTTAAAATATTTTCTCTCTTTGGGAGTTTTCATAATTTGCTAGATAAGAGCAAACCCCTAAAGAAAAAAGCAGGAGGTGACACTATGTAGTGTTCCCCAAGAGAGATATGTTTTAGATAGATGTAAATTTATCTTTATTAACTACTTTTTCCCCCTCTTAAAGTATGTGGTTTTGTTTTGATATAACCTTGAGCAAACTTTGCAAAGATGTCATTTAGTTTCCTTAGCTTTCTTCAATTATAAACTCAGGAGATGAAGACTTTCAGATCCTCACAGGGCATGAGAATAATATATAATACACCGTGCTGTCTACATAGGGTTTTGTGCAGGAATATACCTTTAAAAGTGGACTTCTCATCCTTCACTCCATGCATTAGTTAAGTATGCCTCAAAGGAAATTACCAGTGAGCATCTCATCATTGTGATTTATAGACATGCATGTAATATATATTTAATGTCTGGCTGGCTGGCTCATTATAGACAGTTTATGACAGTGAATGCTTGTGTAGTGTAGTGGCCTCGGCACTATGGAAAAACATTCTAGATGTGGGGAAAAGAGGGTAAATAAGACCCTCAATTTAAAGATACAATCCATCCATTTTTTTTTCAGAGTATTTTTTAACTTTAGACTTAGCCTTTATAGAACACTATTGAAGAAAAAGAATTGGTTTTGTAAGCCCTCTTTACTAATTTTTTTTAGAAGCTGTCCTCTGTGTGTGTTTTGATAAATTTATATATAAAAGGATACCATTGCATATTTCTTTAAATTCTGAAATACCTCTAGGGGAATTTTTCCTACCAACCTTTGAACTTCAGACTTGGCGGCACAGAGTTGGGGGTGACCAGTCTTCTGTCCTCCCTGACCCCTCATTTCTGCGTTGTGCTGTTGTTCAACTGCTGGAGCACGACTTCCTGGGGCATTGCCATTTCTAAGGAATGAAATTGGATCCAAATTCTTTTCAGGAGGATGTGATTTGTTGTTTTGAATGTGGCTTGTTTGGGGAAGACACTTTACCACATAACCATTATTGCTTGGATGGTTTCCATTCCGAAGAATGCTGGCCATGGGAAAGCAAAGGGACAGAAGGTCAAGGCGGGATGCTGTGTGGCACATGAGATTGAACTAGAGGCTGTCTGGAGGTAGGTTTTTGGTTGCTTATGCACAGACACACACACACACACACACACACACACACACACACACACAATAAAAGAAAAGGAGGGATTTTTCATCTTTAAGCAACATATATTTTGAATTTTATGTGAATAATGAACCTCCCTTGATCATTCAAGAGACAATGGCCATTTTTGTACCTGTTTTTTCAAACATTTGACAAATGGAAAGAGTGATTCAGAGAACTAATTAAGTGCCAATTTTGGGGAAAAATGGTTCTGTTTCCAGATGGCAAAGGAGCATCATTAATACCTTCTCTGCACTTTCAAACAGGAGACAGATGCTACCAATAAGAGAGAGAGTCAACACTTCATGGTTGTTTTCAATAAAACACATATTATCCCATAGTTCTAAGATTTGAACCATCAATCAAATTAGGCAGGTTTCTGTTGACAATCCAATTTAAAAAAAAAAAATGAGGTACGTTTATTTACTGTTTTCTACAAACTTCTTTCTGCTAAGGATTAGAAATATCAGTGAAAACATGGTAAAGAAATCTTAGAAACATGAACTAGCCAACCCTCTACTCAATTGAGTTAACAGATTACCATGACCCTCAGGTTAGTGAGAAGGCGGCGAGGAATTATTAACTTTTTCCTCACCTGTCACAGGATGCCTTTGGGGCTAGCTTCCTGCCTCTGTGACCTCTGCAGTTAATTTGTCCTTGGTTCAATGTCCTTCTGTTGTGTCTTACGATTCTTAACTGCAAGAATGTATGCATTTAATGTAATTTTTATATGACATTGGAAACTTCATAAATTAAGACCAAAAGAAGTGGCAAATGGTGTTTATGGGTAGTTATGTATTATGAGGGAAATGTTATGATGTGGTTGTAATAAACTACAGCACCTGGACAAGGCTGTTCAGATTCTCTGACACCTCCCTCTGTGACATCTTTCATGAGAATCTTTATGGGAGAAGGGAGAGAGTGGTCTTCTTAGGTTTTGTGGTCTGTTCAGGAGACAATAGTGGAAGAAAATCTAAGAACACATCCTGCTTCTGCTGTTATGTTGTGCCTCAGTGTCTGCAATAGGTAAACGGAATTCTAGTTTATAATTGGAGCATACGTGTACTAAGTCAGGGAAGGCACTCATTTGCCTGATGCCACATCATCACGGTGGTAGATTGAGCATCAGTATGAAGCTTAACAGCACAATATAACACCAGCTAGTACACAGAGTCCAGGTCAAGTCAAATATTCCCACTTCCGACTGCCAACAGCAATGTGAAATGCTCCTGAGCTCTTTAAGTATAATTCATGTCAGTGGTTCTAATTTTCTACTTCTTTATGTCAAGTCTGTATTCCTCTGTGCCCCCATCTCTCTTCTCCCTCCCTCTCTGAGATTAAAAAATAACAATAATGTTTTAGTACTTTAGTTATCTACACTACCTACAATATATTTGCTATGCAAGTAGAAGTTTACCCATTCTATAGAAAGTAAGGTTTGTGTCTAGTTGCCTTGTGTTATAGCTACAGAGAAAGGCTTGGTTCCTAGTTCCTCAGAAACCTATGTGGCCAAGATGGGAAAGTATGAAAGAAGTCAGGCTGTGGTAGTTTCCTTAGTGAATGAATGGAGAGGTAGCCATTGTACTTGTGTGAAATGAGTGGTATTTTTGCCTTTGGTGTACACAGAGACACATCTAGGAAAACAGCTGTATTACTGAAATTCATAAGTGAAAACTAGTTTCAGTGTAGTCATCTTTTCACCCTGTATTTGTGAGTACAGTGTGTTTGT